GATGGGATGGGATGGGATGGGATGGGATGGGATGGGATGGGATGGGATGGGATGGGATGGGATGGGATGGGATGGGATGGGATGGGATGGGATGGACTTTGGGTTCCCTTCCATCCCAAATGAGGAGATAAAGGTGCTGCTGTCCCACATAAACAGGGTGACGAGGTCCTGATGAGTGTTCAGTGGCTGCTGTTGACACCCAGTGTTTTATAGAACTCTGATTTTGTGCTTTATTTGCTTTTAATCTGCCCGTGAACTTTCCACCCCTGTGCAAGGAGAGCCAAGCAGGGATCAAATGCCAGGCTCCAATGGCCCTTGGGTTGTTTTGGTTCTTGGCTGGAGTAATTTCAGTGGGAAGAGGGAAGGTTTAGATGGGATATTGGGATGAAATTGAGGGTGGGGAGCCCTGGCACAGGGTGCCCAGAGAAGCTGTGGCTGCCCCTGGATCCCTTTGARTGCCCAAGGCCAGGCTGGACATTGGGGCTGGGAGCAGCCTGGGACAGTGGGAGGTGTCCCTGCCATGACGGGTGGCACTGGATAATTTTGAGGGTCTTTCCCACCCAAAGCTGCCTTTGATTCGGTGCTGATTGAGGGGTGAGGCGTTTGCCTTCTCCAGGATCCCAGGGCAGGGGGGTGCAGCCCTTCCTGGGCACTCCCAGAGCTCAAAGGGGAAGTGGAGGTTGGGGGAACAAGGGGCTGCACCACCAGTGATGGCAATCTGAGCTAGGCTGGGCTCAGTGCTTTCAAAATAAACAAATTATGGACAGAAACGAAGCTTTAGCCATTTCTAATTAACATAAATTTCCTAATTAATTCTAATTAATTGGTTTGCTGGAGCATTGTCGGCCCCTGCTTCTTGTCTGGTGCCTGGAGCAGCAGAAAAAAACAGTTCCTAATGTTGGTCTGAATATGGCAGAATACGGGAATTGAGAAGGGGAAGTCACTTGTTGGTTTTGTCACTTCCCAGAATTTTAATATCGTGAATGCAAAGGGAGTTTTGCCMTCAGTGTTGTTCATCTGCAAAGCTTAATTTGAAATTGTGTTGAATTTCAGTCTGATAATATGGATAAGAGCAATCTAATCATCCCTATTTTAATTAAATCTTAATTTCAGYGATAGGATTCAGGAATGATTAGTGTGACTAAAGTGTTTTTCCTAAATATTAAAGCCTTTCTGACTGCAGTGAGGGAGAGTTTTGTCTGACAGACGGGTGGGTGCACCCTGAAAATACATTGGTGCAGAAAGAGTCCCAGGATAATGGGATTACCTGATAAATTTGATAGCCTTTGAACTCAGACGGTATTTTTAAATACAAAAATAAAGATTTTTGATTGAAGCATAAAGAAACCTCCATTTAACAGACTACAGGAAGAACTAAAAGATCTAAAAAAAACCCAGCTCTCCTTTTGCATGCTAATTTGATGAGTGATCCCAGAAGATAAAGGAATAGGTGTAAATGATTTCATGTCATTATTGGAGCTGATTTTTTCCAAGATTTGCTGAATTATAATGTCACCTTTATTCTCATTTAAAACACGCTCACCTTGTCTGGTTGATTTTTAGCACTGCTGCTATTTTATTTCCTACAAGAACCCGTGAAATTGCTGCCATGAAATTGCTACCTTGAAACTCCCCTTTCAGAAAATGAGAATATCCTGGGGTTTGTTCACTGGAAAGTTGCCCTGATACTTATTCCAGATATTCAACTGTATTAAATAAATACAAACCATCAAACCACAGAACGGTTTGGGTTGGAAGGAACCACCGAGTTCCGACTTCCAATATTTATTAGGATTTGCATAAATAAATGTGTATTTCCAGTAGCTACACCCTAATGCTCTCAGCTGCTTGTTCCAGGCTGTTTATTCACGATATTGCCCGTGACATTCCCGTAACTGCTGGTAATTCAAATATTTGTGAGTTCTCCGGCATTAATCATCGCCTGCATTGTTTTACTTCCTCTTGCATTTTTACTCGTTGAGCCGTTGCAATGTGAAAGCAGCCTGGGAGTTGGTTGTAAACCTTTAAATGCCTTTCCAAATGTTTACATTCCACTGRTATTTACTCCAGGAGTGTTTTGGGGTTGGTACCTGGGAATCCTCACGATTCCTTCCCACCGCTGGGGTCGGAATGTTGGCGGGGAAGGAATCGAGCAGAGGAGCTGCAGGTTGAAAAGCAGAAATGGGGCAGCTTTGGGAGCCTGTTTAGGGCTGGTTTAACTTCCAGCAGGTCAGTGGGAGCCTGAAAAGGAGATTATTTCCCACTCTGGAGAGATCCCACCCCAGACTCCGTGTGCAGCTCTGGGGTTTTGGCACGGGAAGGACCAGAAGCTGTTGGAGGCAGCAGGATGGGCAGAGGGATGGAGCAGCTCTGCTGGGGAAAGGCTGGRASAGCTGGGATTGTTCAGCCTGGASAGGAGAAGCTTTGGGGTGACCTCAGTGTGACCTTCCAGGGCCTAAAGGGGCTCCAGGAGAGCTGGAGAGGGATTTGGGACAAGCGATGGAGGGACAGGACACAGGGAACRGCTTTGAGCTGAAAAAGCAGAGATTTTGTTGGGATATTGGGCAGGAATTGTTCCCTGTAGGGTGGGCAGCCCTGGCACAGGGTGCCCAGAGAAGCTGTGGCTGCCCCTGGATCCCTTTGAGTGCCCAAGGCCAGGCTGGACATTGGGGACAGTGGGAGGTGTCCCTGCCATGGCAGGGGTGGCACTGGGTGATTTTTAAGGTCCTTTCCAGCMCAAACCATTTGGGGATTCTGTCACAGCCAGAAGGGAG